TTATACATACGAAAATGTATGGGAATGAGGAACATCACATTCAGGTTAGTGTAACCTGGGAGAATGAGAGGGAAATGGAAAAAGAAGGGAGTTCATAGAAACTATAATTGTATTTATATTTTACTTCCTTAAAAATAATGTCAAAACCCAAGCAAAATGGAGTATAAAATAAGTCAAAAATTGCTTTCCAAATACATATTTATATCTTATTGTGATCATGATTTTAAGCATAGAAGCTTGGTTTTGGAGGAAGCAACTGATATTCTCCATCCTCAGGCACTGAGACTTCCTACACATTTATGTTTCTTGTTCAGTAAAGATTCTTGATGACTAGTCTGCAATGCTATTGATTTCCTTATTTCCCATTGTTCCCCAACCCAATTACCCATGAAGATGTCTTGCCAAGATGTCCCATGCACCTTTTCTTTTATATTAGCAGAATTTGATGGTCTCGACCTACCATTCTCTTCAACCTCTCCCTTGTCTCCAGGACATCCCTGCTCCTGATTTTGTCTTTGGCTGTTCTGCTTAGTGCTCCTGATGGGTGCCTCTTTTTGCTTCTCTGTAATATGTTAGTCTTGAAGCCTTTGTCATCTGTACATTCTCCAAGTGATCTCATCCAAACCATGACTTCTACTACCTGTCTCCATTATTCATTACTAGAGGTTTTCATTTCATATTGATATATTAACAGATTTTAACATAGTTTTTTTAAAATAACAAGCAAATTTTTTTTAAACTCTTCCTATTTTTTTATTGGTTGTTCAAAACATTACAAAGCTCATGACATATCATCTTTCATACATTTGATTCAATTGAGTTATGAACTCCCATTTTTATCCCAAATACAAATTGCAGAATCACATCAGTTACACATTCACAATTTTTACATAATGCCATATTAGTGACTGTTGTATTCTGCTGCCTTTCCTATCCCCTACTATCCCCCCTCCCCTCCCCTCCCATCTTCCCTCTCTACCTCATCTGCTGTTAATAACAAGCAAGTTTTAAGATGTATTATCACAAGTAAAATTTTACTAATCAAAAACTTTACTATTCCCTTTTAAAATGTGAATTTAATTTTCAAAGAAGGAGGAGAGGAATTTCAAAGAAGGGGAGATGTCAGGAGTTTATGGAGAACAGGAACTCTTTAGAGCTCAGGAATTCTTGTGGCTTGGTTGTTAAAGTACTGTTAGTTGAAATTGTCAATGATGTGTAGAACTGTAATACAGAAATTGGCAAATGTTATCAATCAGAGCTTCTGCAACCAGAAAGCCCATTTGCCAGTATATACTGTATAACTTTTGCTAATGACCTGAGTCACAATGACAAACCATCTTATTCTAAACTTTAACACACCATGGGATAAATAGTGCCTGCAAGATTTAACAACTAAACTAGTTTATAGATTAGAAGTCAATACTACCTGTAACTTGGGTGTTGACTCCATTATTTAATATCAAAGGAGAGTCCTTGATTTATTTCATTCTGATTGCTTAGTATATTTCTGTGTTTTTGAATGACTAGTGGCCAAATGGAGATTTTGAATCATTTCTTTAAAAAATAGAGCAAAAGTGTATTTCAATAAAAAGAAAATAAATATTTTTAAGGAGAGTTTCCCCCGAATTTTAGATCCAAGTTAGGGCAGATTTAGGTTTTTTTTTTTTTTTTTTTTTTTTTTTTTTTTAACGAATCTGTCTTCCATTTTACCTACAAACTGGAAAATAATAGTATGGGGAAAATATCTTATTAGGCTCTGAGTATTTATGGTGATAACAAATTATAATTCCCCTCTTGAGAAACTGTCTCAAAATTCAGAGTTTGTTGCTTACTTCTTTCACTTACTTAGTGAAGAAAACCACATTAAGATCTTGAGACTGACTAGTTAGTGGGTTCCACTTCCTGTTGTGAGGAGGAAAATTATCTTAGACTCAGTGAAGTTTTCAAAGATTGTTTTCATCCTCTCGTTTAACCAATTTAGGTTTCAAACTCACATAGATCAACTGAAACCGAAACCCCTATAAGGTGTTATTTCTATAATATGCACTCTGTCTCTGGCCAAGGGAAACCGTTAATAAAAATTGGCGTCAGTAGGTGTACTCTCTGAGCAGGGCTGACTCCCAGTGCCGCCTTCCTCTTTCAAAGAAGGCTGCCTAAGGTGCTTGCTTGGACTAAACGCCCACTCTGTCTGAGGCTGCATTACCCTGCTCGGGACTCTCACTTCTCACCCCAGCCCGGGCAAGAGAATAGACACCAAGGTCGGTCTTGGGCAAAACTGAGACAGAGCCCACACTTTGATTTGGGACCTAGGGTTTGATGGAGGGGGCTGGAGCACCCCGGGTCTCACCAGAGCCCATGAGGGATGGGTGGAGGAGACCCACTGGGGCCCAGTGAGGAGCCATGGAATGCATGTTGCTCCTGCCGACCTTTGCAGATGCTCTGACTGATCCCTAGGGATTGCCTCATTTACTCAGCTGGTTCCCTTTAAGGTGCTCTTTTTGTTTGAAATAATGTAATTTCACTTTATTCACCTGGGGCCCAAGCTCTCTAGGAATGACTGTGGATGACTCTCTTTTCTCCTGGTTCCTCTGGTTCTTAGTTGTTTTAATTGCTACCTGGGGGCCTCCTGCATCCCTGATTTTCCATCTGTTACCCACTCTTTAAGTTCACATGTTCTAGTACTGACTCTCGGGCAAGTTTCACCTTCCCATACATTTTGGGCAAAAATATTTTGTCTATAGGTACTAATTGGGTTTTAGTAATAATCTCAGATAACTGGCATATTAAAAAGGGGCTGGGGTTGGGGCTGGGGTTCAGTGGTAGAGCGCTTGCCTGGTCTGCGTGAAGAAGCACTGGGGTCGATCCTCAGCACCCCATAAAAATGAAATAATAAAACAAAGATATTGTACCCACCTATAACTAAAAGAGGGAGGATGATAGGGATTTTAGACCAAGAAGCAGACATTTGGGAGATACTTGTGAAATGGAGCTGAGACTTGGTGCTTTCCATGATAACCTGCTTAGACTTTAGTAACATGCTATGAATGTCACACGTCTGTCTTCGCTTAAAAGTTATGGCAAAGAAATTAATCAATCATTCCTTTTGAAAAGGGAACATTCATAAAAGAAAGAGCAGTATTTCCCAGGACATATATTTCCCAGGAAATACGACTTAATTTGAACTTCATCATTGCTGAAGGAAACAAAGTGATACTAAAAAATCATGAGATTTTTGCTTATTAGACAGGAAGCATTTGTTTATATGTTAATGATAGAATATTTTATTGCACTTATTCATATAAAGTTATGTTTTTTTAGTTATCAGTGCATTTATACAACTCTTTTCAAATCTGTGTGAGAATTATGGGATTGGAATTCTTGTAAATATCTTGTTTTTACAAATAAGGAAGTAGATTCAGAGGGATTTTTCTCTGTGTGACACAAGCTACTCATTATGACAGCCATAATTGATTCTGGGCCTCTAGATTTAAAAATACTATCACATTTCCACTGTATATCATATATGCTTCAAAAATATAGTAGAATCATATACAAGAGCTATTAGAGCAATAGTTATGTAGAATACTAGAAGGTATATAGAATAATATAAAATGCCATGATTACCAACTTTAAGAACTATTTTTCAATTGTATGCTTTAGAATTTTTTGAATTCACAATTTGCACAAAGGCAAATTAATTAAGCTTGAATAAATTCAGCTTAGATATTGTAGAAGGAAAATGAAATTTCCTTAAGCAAAAATTCTCTATATTTGCACATGCATATAGACATACACCATTGAGAATTGTTTCTTTTGAGGTGCTTCCTAGTTTTGATGGTATTCTGGTAATATATGGGTTGTTTAAAATGTGTTGTGAAAAAATATGTGTATTTCAAATATGTTGTCTTATATCTGATTTGAATATTGAAGAGTTAGCACAGAAGAGTAGTTGATAACGAATTTTTCCTCCATAAAACGTGAGAAATATTTAGAGCTAAAGACAGAATAAGAAATTTAAACTTGGCTTAAAATAAGAATTTCTTGATAAGGAGGTTTGAGAGTCTGAGTGCACACCAAAAGACATATGAAATTTCTTTTATTATTGTCATTTTTCTGGTATGAGGTATTGAACCCAGGGATGGTTAATTGCTGAGCTACATCCCCAACCCCTCTTAAAATTTTGAGACAGGGCTTATTTCCCAGCCTGGCCTGGAACTTGCCATCCTGCTGTCTCAGTCTCCTGAGACACTGGGATTACAGGCCTGTGCTATGGTGCAGAGTTGAAATTTCTTTCTTTGGGGTATTTAATTCATATGGTTTAGGTGTAAGTAAAATTATGTGATAGTGGGACCATGAATTTAGACCAGCATGAACCTGTAATATTTTGAGTTGTCTTCCTTTTATAAATAATTTTTTCCTTTTTTTTGTGGGCATTGGGGATTGAACCCAGAGGTGCTCCCACTGAATTACATCCCCAGCCCTTTTTATTTTTTAATTTTGAGTCAACATCTCTATGAGTTGACCAGCCTGGCCTTGAACTTGTGATCCTCCTGTCTCAGCCTCCAAGTGGTTGGCATTACAGGTGTGTGCCACTGTGCCCTGCTGTCTTCCAGGTATTTAAAAATGATCATTTTTAGAAATGATGCAGAATATAGTTTTCATTATGTCACAGAAAATTAAAAGGGGAAATATCGATGAGTTCTTAAAACTTCGGTGAGCACTGTGCTATCAGAACTGAAGTAGTAGTGAGAACTGCCTGTGGGTGGAAACAGGAAACATTAGTGATAAATGCCGGTTACATTTTTTTTTTCGGGTTCAGCTCAATGTATATTGATTCTAATTAGCACATTTTGTGCCTCAGCTAGTGGCTCCCCTTTAGCTCTGCTCAGAGAGTTTTTTTTAGAATCCACCCTGCTCATAAACACTGCCACCTCCTCCCTCCTTCTCTCTTTACAAATGTTACAACACAATCAGAAATTTCCTCTTTTCTTTCCTTCCAGCAGTTCCAGCAGGTTCCCTTGCGTCAGAAGCCGAGGAAGAAAACTCAAGGTAATTAGATCTCTTTTGTTTCTTTAATCTCTCGTGTGCATGAGTGTGGATTTTTCTCCCGGATGCCTTGTTTGGGATCAGATTTTTGTCTGTCTGAACGTTAATATCAGGAGGTGGATGACAGATTCATTTTTGGTGATGTTCGGATCGATCTTAAGAAATGACGACATGCTGTTCACTTGGATTAATCCCTCGTGGTATGTCAACAGAGCTCAGAAAAACTGGCACCCGGTCGGGAAGTGGCTGTGTCGCTAGGTGAGGTTTAACCCTTCCACATCTATTGCATAACTACTGCTATCATTGTTCAAAGGAGCTGTGACGGCAACGGTCTCCCTGCCAGCCTCGAGATGTTCAATTTTCAACTTATTCTTGGTGAATAGTATTCTTAGAGCACTACTTGCCTATTAGTCTCACGGCGTCTTTGCCCCATGTCTTCTGCCTTCTGGGCATCGGATGAGTGTTTAAAAATAAAACAAATGATTTTTCTTTGCATTTATTTTGCATAAATCTTGGTTAAAAAAAATCCAACTTCTAGGAGGTATACCACGAAAAGTTGATTTAAGGTCTCACATAAATCGGGGGAAGACTTACCTGTCGGTGCAATTGTTGCAGGTTTTTTCACCATGAGTCGGAGGAGGATATCCTGTAAAGATCTGGGACACGCTGACTGCCAAGGGTGGCTGTATAAGAAAAAGGAAAAGGGGACTTTCCTAAGCAACAAATGGAAAAAGTTCTGGGTGGTGCTGAAGGGGTCCTCGCTGTACTGGTACAGCAGTCAAATGGTGAGTCCTCTGTCCTCCGTCCCCAGCCTTTTTACCGACGGGTGGATTAAAGATTTTGATTTCTGGGATTGGGAACATAGCAAATAAGTTACAGAAATCCTTTGTGATGCAGTGAAAAATGTAGGTGATCTTGTTGTGTTTTACAAAGGAGAAAACCATTCTGCTTGACCACTTCTTGGTTGGGGAGGAAGGAAAGAGGGGATCCCAGTTTATATCCTTGCCGAAGGAGGCTTTTGGGTTCTGTTAATGTTAGTGTTCCATGAGAGATATGGGTATTTTCAGGATTTACATGCCCATGTAAATCACTTTATATGGGAACTTGACATGGCTGAGGTCTCTACTGAAAAAGAGTTCAGCATTTCCCTCTATCAAGGGTATGAACTGATTGGGAGCAGAGAAGCTATTTCTATTTAGTTTCCCCTCCCATCCCTCTGACCTTTGCTATCCATTGGTTTGGAACTGCTGCCCTCCGTGCCAGTGTTGTGTTGGCGACTGGAGTCTCCTGTTCTGTGACAGCATTAAACCACTCATGTGTGGACAATGCCGGATAAGATAGTCACCTAATTTATCCTTTAATAGGCAGACACAGTTGTGGTCGGCTTCACAGGCTGGTTTTCTGCTGCTGCAAGGAGAAGGAAAGAAAGTTCTTGTTAGGGGTGTGCTCATCTTTCATGGCTGGAAACATTTAGAGATGCTGATGTTGCACATATCGAATCAGTAGACTCTTCCAGGTAGGACCTCTCTCCACTGACCCTGGTGAAGTCCATTGCTGATCTCGAGGGAGCTCAGTCTCTTTGTAAACATGAGAATGGATGCCATTAAGAGAAAAGTACTCAATCTATTTTCCATAAGTCAGAAAAATTCTATTTATGTGTTGCCATTCTTTTAAAATGTACAAGCCCATCTCTCTGAACCATAGCGTCATGGAGCATGTAACTTAACAAATGGGAAACAGGTGCCTGCATATTGTTTGTGGGCCAGCTTTTTAGTTGATAAATTTACCTTCATTGGCCACTAGTCAAAATACATTTGCATAATCAAGAAAGAAACAAAAATAAAAATTAAAAAAAAAAAACTAGCCAAAAATTTGAATTACTCAGAAAATTGGGCACCTTCAAGGAATTGGTTAAATTGGACTCAGATTCAACATCAGTGTCCTGGAGTAAGCACACTTTGCCGGGCTTCTTTCTGCACCCCTCTTTCCAGGATGATTTCTTTGATTTTACTCCATGCACAGCATGGTACAAAGCTCATCATCAAATCCTACAAAAATCCACTTCTTTAAGCATTTGATGAATTATCAGAGATTTAGGGGGTTACCAGAGACAGCCTCTGGTAGCGTGTACAGCCTTCTACGCTCTCCTTTCTCTTCCCTGTCTCCTTCTTCCCTTCGGGACCCATCTTGTCTAGCATGGAATAGTTTTAGCTTTTCTTCTTCAAGAAAAGCTGGGGCTGAGGTCTTGTCTCCTATCCTGAGGGGGGTTTCCTTCACAAATACAGCTTCCTTCACGGGAATTAAGGGTAACATAAGTTTTTTTTTCTTGTTTCTTACTCTTTTAGGCTCTTGCTCTTGGGTGGTTGTGGCAAGTGGTGGTCATCTGCATCTTTCCTAAGATGAGAGGACTTCCTGTTTAACCTTTTAACAGCTCTGGGGAACTTCCAGAGACTCTTGGATAAATGGGGTACTGATGCTGCACAGTGCATCTATGGGAAGCAATGAAGCTTCATTTGGAACCGTAAATTCATCTTCTCAGATTCTTCAGCAAATATGTTCTGGATCTATCGCTGTCTTCATAGACTTTAAAGAAAGTCCCTCTGAACCCCCATGTTTAGAGATTTGGCTCATTTTGGCTTATGCTTTCCTTAGAGGAGCAATGGGTTACCCCCAGGCAGCAAGCCTTTCATATTGTAGGCATCAGAATGTCAGTCTTCCTCAGGGGGCAGCAGCGTTGGCTGAGACTGGACTAAAGAGAGGGGAAGGTCAGAGCTGCAGACCCATGTGGGCACCTGTCCTGATTTGTTTTTGTGCAAATGCCAAAAGCAATATTCAGGTTGCCAATCATGTCCTCAAATAGAGTTAGATTAGCAACATCATGTTGAGAACAAGCTTGACAATAGGTGGCCAGGAAGGTAGCAGATTATTATGGTCTACAACGGAAGGACCCTTCCATAGGAGAATTACCCTCCCTTTCTGTCTCTCTCTCTCTCTCTCTCTCTCTCTCTCTCTCTCTCTCTCTCTCTCTCTCTCACACACACACACACACATACTCCCTGACATCTTAATTATATATGTGTTCTGGGAAACCCTCAATGAATACTTAATTAGCAGTCATATTGTGAATATCAGCTGTGAAATAAGAGTCGAGCACATGCCTCCAAGCCAAGACATTTATTTACTTTCTCCACTTGAAGAACTCGGGTTCAACAGAGTTGCTCCTAAAACACCTAAATGGAGAGCGAGCTCTTCTCCTGTTTTCCATATTTTCATTCTTGGGGGAGGGCCAGCCCTGTGGGGTGTGGCTTCTTGACCTCATGGTAAGAGCCACCTCTTAACAGGATGTCTGCTACATGCCGAGGGAGAGTCTAGGAACCTTTATATTTGCTTTTATTTGGTCATTAGAAATACCCCCACAGGCAGTAACTAGTCCACATTTTTGAAAGTTGGGAACATTGAGACTCAGAGCAGTTGTTTTAATTGCCCTAAGTTGAATGAGTAGTCAGTGGAAGAAAACAGCATCACATTCAGGCCCCTTGATTCCTAATCCGTGATCCTCGTGCCCTGCCAACCTGGCTGCATCTGGGGACCAGGACAGAGGACATGATTAGGAGCACCTGTTCCTGCCTTCAGTGGGGTTCTGGAAGAACAGGGCTAGAAGTGAAATCTAGGCCAGTTCTCCTGTGAAGTGACGGTTGATCCTACTGGATCCCTTTGCTTGTCCCTGTTGGTCCCTACATTGCCTGATGAGACCACACTATCCCCTCCCTTCCCAGGGGTTTTTGGTGCTATTGTTACCCAGTGACCAAGGCAGAGCGTCCCTTCTTCTCCCCACACTGTGCTGCTTCCAATTGCACCAGCCAGACTTCCCTGAGAAAGGTCACCTGGCATATTTTGCCTCAAGTTCCATGTGCTTAGATTGTGATACGGCACACAGACTGCATGCCAAGTCTCGCAAAGCCATATGTACGTTTAACAGCCATGAAAACCCCAGCTGCTTAAAATCCCGGAATTAAAACCCATACTCTGGTCTCCCCTTGCCCTTAAGATAGAGTGCAACTTCACTTCCTGTGAAGCAAAGGGATTCTCTTCAGCGGGTCCCTGTCTTCCTTCCCCACACCTCCCACCGACCCCAGGCTTCCAGACAGGACTTCGGATCCCTCTCTCCTGGGCACCAGCTCCCACTGAGACTCCGCACACGCTTTTTCTGTGCTCAGAAAAATCAGGTCTCCATGTCCTGAAATCTTTCTTCAGCCCAATTCCATCAAGCTGATTCCTCCTCATTAGTTAAATTTTAGCTTAAAAAGCTCTCCTTCTACATGGACTCACCTAATCTTCTGACCTGAATTCTGTCTGCCTCTGTCTGCTTCCTGAGCGTCTCTATGATTTTTGTAATCATGCTCATCCTGGCTGTTTTCCATAATTGATAATAATCTATGTAGGGCAACTATGGATACATCCTCAGCACCTTGCTCAGTATCTTGCATTTAATAGGCACTTGGCTAGAATTGGTTGATTTCATGCGTGAGAATCGGGAATCATCAGCCTGTGCATTGCTCATGGGAATTGTGAGAAATGGGACCCCACAAACAAGAGCTGCTTTTGAAAGCAAATAATTTTCTAAGAAAGGGATTTCCAATTCTGTTCTTAAAAACAGATAGAGGGAAAGGTTCAATTTGGGGTTTTCTAGAAAGGCCCCAGGCTTCCCAATAGGTCCCACACAGCTGTTCCTGTTTTACCCACACTTATTAGGAGTTTTGAGAGGTAGAGGGAAGGGGGATGGGCATCCCCATGTGATGTGATGGAGAATAAAGGAATGAAGATGTAAAGGACCTGTGCCAACCCGCTGTGTTAGGCATCATATTGAATTCTCATAATAACTGAGCAAGGTAGGTTTTTATTATTTCCATTTTTTAAAGGAGTTTACTGAAGTCCAGGAGAAAGGAGGAACTTGCTCAAAGCCTTATAAGAGCTAAACGGCAGAGCTGGTATTAACACCAAGATCCTGCATCACCAAAGCCAGACTGCATGGCTTCCTCACTGAGACGTGACCCAGGGCCAGTAAATGAGGGTCTTTGCACACAGGGTAGGAACGTGGATATTATCCAGCAGGCAGTAGGGAGCCATTGCATATTCCAGAGCTGGAAGTGAAATTGGCACATGAAAAATACAATGTAGCAGCCAGGCTTTGGGAATGAGGGGCCTTTGAGGAAGCCAGTTAGGAGAAGATGAAGATGAAGATGCAGGCATTCAGACACAAGCTTCTAGACTGGAGTGTCCATCGTGAAAATTTGGGACACAGTTTGCTAATAAGAAAGAGCAACATATGGAGAGTACTTGGACATAGGACAAAAAAATTGAGGCTAAAGTGAGACCAAATGATTGCCAAGTCTTGGAGCCCAGGGAGGCTGGGAAAATCATATGAAGATTGAGGAAGGAAGAGTTTGGGGCTAAAATACAGAATTTCATTTTAATTCATTTGTCTTGTTTATTTGGTTTATTTCCATTTTGTCCATTATTTATTTGTATAAAATTACTAGACACCTGCATTTTATAATAAAGTAACTATTTATTGATGCCATTTGGGAGCCTGGGAGCCCCTGGGCGCATCACCTGACCATTTCATGAACGTTTGTGGGAACCCCATGAGGTTTGTGGGTGCGTAGCTGGTTTAGTGCACAGTATGCAGGCTTTTCAGTTCTTTGAGAATCCAATCTGCCTGTGCAGATGTGATTGTTTCTTCTTGTCTGGATGTCTCCGTGTGTCTATGGAGTCAAGTGACTGC